ACACTCTTGTGGGACACTCTTGTAGGACACTCTTGTGGGACACTCTTGTAGAGCACTCTTCGTACGAGACTTCCTCCAAAAGTCACACGTCAAGTCTCCAAAACGAGCGTTTCGTACGAGACTTCCTCCAAAAGTCACATGTCAAGTCTCCAAAACGAGGGTTTCGTACGAGACTTCCTCCAAAAGTCACGCGCCAAGTCTCCAAAACGAGCGTTTCGTACAAGACTTCCTCCAAAACTCACATGTCAAAGTCTGCAAAACGAGCATTTCGTACGAGACTTCCTCCAAAAGTCAAGCGGAAACACCCATCGGAGCACACACATCACGCAGCCCTGCCAAGCAGTTTCGCGAGTCCAGCCCCTCCAAACAATACCCGCTCACACGCCAATCCCACTGTGACATCGACATTCACCTCTACCACAACTCACGACCTCACAATTCCCTGCGCCTGCCACGAATCTTTCCACGTCCACACGTCTAACGCGCACAAAGTACTGCGCCTGCCACGAGATGTCACCTCCGTCACACCTCGCAACCTCACGATTCCCTGCGCCTGCCACGAAAATCGCACTTCCACACCTCAAACTCCGCACAAAGTACTGCGCCTGCCACGAAAAGTGACAATATCATCTCATGTGAGCTTCAACAAAATTTGCACCACACCACACGTTTGGAATGATTTCGACCCTTTCGGAGCACACTCCCATCCACCAAAATCGCCATTTCAGCTGAGACTTGTCACGAAAACCGAGCTTCGATGCCACACCCTGAAACGCAAATCCCATTGGCACGGCCACATCCAACACCCCTAAAACACGACTCTCCAAACGCTAATCCCAATGGAACTGCGCAGCAATCTGCGGATCTCACAAAAGGCTGCGCCTGTGCAGCGAAATGCATCACGCTTCTTGCGCGACATGTCATTGTCATGCAAATCACAATGGAATAGCGGCGCAAACTGACACGTGACACATCTATGAAAGGTCACTTGCAAAAGCTTCCCCCAATGGCAGCGCCTTAGCGTTCTACGGCCAACCAACGGTTGCAAGCACTTGCGAAGGGTTGCGAACGGTTGCGGACGGTTGCGAACATACAAACCACGGGTCGCGAACAAGACTCTACCTCCAGACCCTCAGAGTTAAACGAGAACCCTTCGCTACGCATTCGGGAAAAAAAACAAATATATACATATATATATATATATACACCCACATAAAGATACATAAAAATAGAATAGACTCCTTCATCCTTCCAAGCATCTCAATTCAAAAGGATTTGGTGCCCCTGCTGCTTTCAGGCAGCTCATGACCGATTTGCCCCGGAGATCGTGTTTGTCGTGGGGACCAGATGGTGTCTCGATCCAACAGAGTGCGTCCGGGTAGAGCTTTAAAAAAGACACTGCTTCACGGAGACTTTGCTCCGCTTTACCCAGGAGTTTGGCTCCAGTTCCACCACCCCCAGAACCACCAAAGGCTTGGGTTGGTGGCTTGGCTTTGCCATCTTCGCCTTTTGCCTCGTCAGTTGGTGCACCAAAGCCACCACGGAAGAGCACTTCTTGGACATATTCGTTCCACAACCTTTCGGCTTCAGCTGCGGAATCCTCGAACGAGCGGGCACCTTGTGCTTTGAGATGCTTCGCCAGCTCTGCGGCTACCTCAGCTGAACTTGACTCGATGTGATCCAGGGCAGTGCGCATGTGGGAGTTCACGTGGTTGATGCGGGCCCCGTTCGCAATCAACAGGGAGGACATCTCTTGAAATACTTCCAAATCTGCTGGGGCGGGCTGTGTGGGGTCAGCTCCAACAAGCGCCAGAATGGCAGTGTTACCTCGACAGAGCCACACCGCACAGTCATTACATAGGACATAGGCGCTTGTGTTCTCAAAACAAGAATTACGTGAAAAAATGTTCACAAAACCTGCCTTCCCGAACGAAACTGTTGGGATCGGCTCCCAGCGAGAGGAGTTCTTTAGCTCTCTCCACACATCCTTCAGGCCGTTCACAGGCCAATCGGTAAAGCTCTGCAGAGGCAAAAGCACTGTGAACAAATTCGTTCAGCTTGTCATAGGCCACGTGTTTCACAGGTGGTGGATTGGAAGAAGTCTTCAAAGTCATTGCCCCATAGGCAATGAAGTTCATGATGGCATGCCGGTCACTTTGCAAAGACGCCTCTGCAAGCCTGATATCCACAGAAGTTCCGACACGGGCCACTTCCAGTGGAAAGTGTGCCTGCCCAGCGGCCACCTCATTCCAGCCCTTCACGCCATCTTGCAAGATTGCCACAGATTCCGGGGCGTATGGCTTTGGGGAGCCTGCACTCTCATCAAAGGCAACCAAATCCAAAAAGTGAGTGCTCTTTGAGCTCAGGTCATCCTCCCTTGAGCGAAGCCTTTGTGTTAGATGAGCTTCAAAAACGCACCAGACCTGGGCCGCGCATTCGCACGTGTCTTCCGAGTGTTTGAGAGTAGGTCCACAACATGAATCCAAAATGAGCCCGCAAGAGCACATCCCTGGCAAGAAAAAGCAGCCCTGATCTACAAGGAGAGTACAAGGGAAGAGCGTGCAGCCGGAAATGGATGGAAGCCCAGGTGGACATGTCCATAAACATCCTCAAATGCGATGCGCTTGGCATACAATCTATGCCCGTGGATGCAACGGCTACCCGCCCGCGGATACCTGTTAGCTCCATCGATTTGGGTGATGGGCCGTGAGCCGTGCTAAATTCACAACAGGGCAGGCCGATCGATTGTGTACCCACCCCAAACAATATACGATCCTCACCGCACCCCAGGTATTGGTAGCCCAGTCTTCCCAGGTTGCCCAACGAAGCTACGGGAGACTGGTGGAAGCCTGCAGGGACGCCTGAATGTGTACCTGCCTTTGGAAACCCACTACCTATAGAGCGATTCTTATGTCTCGCAGAGTTCGTCGGCAGACTTGTCTGTCAGATCTCTTTCCTTTCCCTACCCTATTGGTTTCATGTTTTTGTCTACCTTACCTAGAACAGGAGGCTTTATGTCCTTTCTCTGTCTAACTTACCTAGAGCGATTCACGCTCACTGTGTGGAACTACCCCTACTTCCACCTACTGTACCTACTGCTTGTCAATCAAAGATCAGACATGTGCACTCACCTGTGTTGAGTTTTGCTTGTCAATCAAATATTTACCTCTGTGTGTGGGTGTGTTGAGTTTTGCTTGTGCGTTGGGTTTTGCATGCGTTTTATTTGCAGCTAACCTGCTAGTGATGGCCTCCAACCTGTCGTGTTGGCCCCTACTAGATGCTATGGCCTCCAACCTAAAGGCGATCCACCAACCTTTCCTGTTGCATCCGGAAGTGATGTGATTTTCAACTGCTGTCTTGTCTACCTTCTAGTGATGGCTTCCAACTGCCAGCCCGTAGCAATCACCTCCCACCTAGATGGATGGCCTCCAACCTACTCTTGTTTTTTTTCCCGCTGGTCTCTTTGGTTTTTTGCCTAGGTCGGCGGGTGGCAAGCCGCCATCCATTTCGTACGCAATTTCCCGCGCGTGTGTCTCATTTTGCGTTCGATGGTTTCTGACGCCATACTGAATGAATTCGGCGGTCCCTTTGACATGGTTGACTTTCCTGTGCTAACTTGCCAGCTTGCGATGGTGTACATAGAGCATTGCTCAAACGGTTGAACGATGGATGGTTCGTTTTGTGGCGGTTGTGACCCAGTCCTGTGTGTGGAATCTTCGACCGAGCTGGTTGTCACCTGTGTCCTCTCTGAAAAACGCGAAAGAGCTACCCGCTCAGAGCACAGCTCCAATGGAGTTGTGCTTGCCAGCTCAGCCCTCACCAGCTTGCCCTCGCAAAGCGCGAGGTGAACATGACCAATATAATCACAAACAACTGCAGAGCATAAGAACGACAAAAGAATCTGCAAGTCGCTGCAAGCTAGTAAACTGGCACAGGCCCCTCACCACAAGCAGCATGACTCAGGACGAACCAGCACAGCAACCTAAAGTGCCTCCAAAGACAAGTTCAGGATATGGACAGCAGAATTGGATAAACGCAAGTAAAAGCGGTGAATGTAGACAAGAGCGGGCTCAAGTAAAGAACAAACAGTTGCCAAGGTGATAATAAGTTGAGGAAGAAAATGAGAGGAATGCCATTGCCATGATAGAGTCTAGAGTCTAGAGAACACACATAAAAGTAAATATATTATATATATATGTCAAAGCAGAGTGGGCAACAAAAAGAAAGCCGGGACAAGTCAAGTAAAGTAGACTCAGTGGCGGCAGAGATCGCATCACATCCACCAACGCTTCGGACGCTTCGCTTCCTTCCCTTGAGCTGTTCTTCGTGAGAAACTTCTGCCATTTGGCATCGACGGAGCTTCGAGGTTGTGTTGAAGTGCAGGTGATGCAGCATGGAAGCTGGCTTGCCAACATGGACCTATATGACCTACCTTGGATCACTGTGCAACTGTTTACCCTGAACCGGTCCGGTTGTTACACCTGCACCCATGCGAGCAGGTGAACCTCGCACGGTACCGTGATTGGTCCATCCAGGCTCCGAGTTTGGTCCTTTTTGAAGCTTCGTCGGACAAAAATGCAAAAATGACCACTGCATAATCAAAATCAGTAAAAGGGTCCCGTAGGAAAGTGCGTATTCTCACACAGCCCCTTAGGAACAAAAAGGAAATGCACTTCCTTGCTAGAGATCTAAGGAGAGCACCCGTCGAAGTGGCGTCACTTCCTTGGCTGATTGTCAGTCCAATGGAAACACTGTGAATTGGACTGCGCACTTTACTCTGGGTTGAGACAAATGTGCTTCCTACATGCACTAAGGATGTAAGCCCGGCACTGAATCGCAAAGGATCACAGTTCCAAAGCAGCCAACGCTAACCAAAACACGGGCAAAGGGCGTTTTGAGCAAATCAACTTCTTGTAGAGAAGAGAGGTCGTGCTGATTGTTGGCCAACGTGCAACACCAATAGGACATCTCCATTGACTCCTGTGGTTTCCGAGAAAGCGCATGCTGCTTCAGCATCTCTGCAGTGGCTGCAAAGTGGGTGCTCCATGCATGAGACACCATCCATTCTCAGGGTCAAAATTCTAGGTTTTTTGCAAAACAAGGCTAAATAAGCGAGAAATACACACACATAAAAGAATAACGCAAGATCGTTCTTGCATCGCCAACAAGTGCGGATTTTAGCCCACGCACCTGGAGGTTGCAAGTCCGAAGCCACAAGCTCCACATAAGAGCAAGCATGTTCGCTTGTCAAGGGAATGATGAAATGCTGGCAAATGTGGTACATATTGACTTTGAACCAGCTTAGAGGCGAACCTGGATCCGCAGCGTAAGGGCCTTCATCAAGCACCCACTCACGATTTAAGACCTCTGCAACAACCTCGGCAAGTTTGGAAAACTGCGCCACCAGCACTCCTCGCATGGCTGGATCTTCTCGCAGTTGCTTCCTCCACTTTGCAGTTGCACTTCCTGCACTCTTCCGTAGCATCCGGAGAGAATCGTTCAGCCACGCTGGCCGGGATCCTGCTCCGGCTTTCATAGCGTTCAAGAAGCTTGCATCACCTGAAGTGTTAGCCGACATGCTTCATTCGTGGCTTGGCTTCAAGGCTTTCCCCTGTTCTGCATTGCCAGAGAGGGAAAAAACACAAACATGATTTTGATGTTGCGACCGCCAAGGTCAATCATCAGAAAAACATCAAGGCAGTGGTGCTGGCTACCAACATTTTACTTGGCAATGAGAATGGGCGGGGTGCTAGAGAAGAATAAGACCTCTAGGCCATGATACCAAACGGAAGTTACGAATGGGCTGACAACACAGTTGGCCCCTCCTGGGGTTCTTAAATTCTTAGCTGTTTAGCGGCTCATTAGCAAGTCAGCAAGACAAACACATTGAAACTCCAAGGAGCTCTGCTTTGCCAGCGACTTCTCCACAGCCTTTCGAGCCCTCACAATTTCGGCCACATCCACAGGAAAGTATACTTCCAGTCGCGGTTTCTGTCCGTCTCCACGTCCTGTGTGCACTTTGCTTGCTTTGCTGGATTGACCCGCTTGAGGCTTGTTTACCAGCTGTTCTTTCTCACTTTTCTCGGACTCGAGGCCTAAGAAGGCATTCACCACTGCCGAAATGATCGCCTCCAAAGACTTGGAGCCGCTTGACTCAACTGCAGGGTGGTGACTGACGCCAATGCTTACAGCTCCTTCAGAAATCACCAGTTCACAAGCCTGCCGAATGGCCTCTTGCAAGTCAGGCGCCACGGAGACCTCGGGTTGATTTAATTCTCCCCCGTCAGGTGTCACAAGCACAGACCAGGTTGCTCGAAGACCCGGCAGCATCTTCAGATAATATCCACCCACAAGTTTCATCGGCTTCATGGGTTCCAAGTTGTTCGAAAAGTTTGAAGCCGACATGTCTGAGTCCGACACGTCGCCTACAACCAGAATGGCGTCTCCAGAAAACTGCTCAATGATACCTTGAGAGACGACAAAAGTGCAGGAACTTGCATCTTGGCTGACAAATCGTGGCAGCACATTGAAACGCAAACGGTCAACCCGAAGTTCATCGTTGAAAGGGATCGCCTGCTGCGCTTCTTCGGCCAGCCGTGACTCGCCCAGCCACAAACGGACCAATGGCGCTGGCAAAGTGCCTAGACCTGTAGCAGGTGGCACCACACTTGATGCATCCCACTGCCCCACGGCCGGCATGGGAGATTCGAAGGAATAATAGATCTGATGCGTGTTGAGATCGGTGCATTTGGCAAACTCCCATTTGCCATTGACGTTCAGCAGCTCAACTTTGCCATCTTTCTTGGTGTACTTGATCACTGTCCCCGTGAAGTCAGGTGTGTAGACCCCATTGACCTCTTCACTTCCAGCACTTAAAACTTCAATCATTCCTTTGAAAAGCCAAGGCCGCATCCAGCGGATCATCCTTCTCGGGGATTCGTATTCTGGGTTCATGCTCAAGCCCCACTCCAACACCAAAGCATTGCTTCTCGAGACGTTCAGAATCCATCCACCCCACCGCGGGTAAATCACTTCCGGAAAAACCTGTAGCTGCATCTCTTCATCAGCCTCTCGACATAGAAAGTTGCTGTCAATTTCAATGAGGAGCCCTCCTCGTAGCCATGGGCCTATGAGCGCTTGCGGAAATATGCTTGGAGTTCTAAATCGGAGTGGCAGTAGAAAAGGGCCATGAAGTTCATTGGTTTTGGATGTCGATTCTGCCGGAGTTTCTCCCTTCTCGTCCACATCCACTTCCGTCACTGATATGGTGGCTGTTGGCGAAGACGAGAATGGAGCATCCAATACCAGAGTCTGAAGACCATCATATCTGTGCACCACAAATCCTTCACAGTCTTCCCCCCCGAAGCGGCGCACCTCCCCGGGAGCCAAGCGCCAAAATTCCTGCTCAGTTTCCTTGTAGTCTGCAGCAAAAAGCAAGACGCGGAAGCGAAGTTCTGCACGTTCGTATACATCCATGTCTTGGAACTGGAAGACAAAAGCCACATTGTGTGTCTCTTCCTGGAGTTCAGGTGTGCGACGAACACGAAGAATATTCATGCTGTTCCAGTCGCTGTGAAGACGGGCCCATTGGCCTGACAACCAGGTTGGATCTGTGGGGAAATCACCGGGCAGGGCATTGGCGAATGGCCGGAGATGAAATGAACCACTGGACCCAGCAGCGTCCAAAGTGCCCATGAAGCCACCATCCTTGGGACAAGGCACAATGCTTGGGCTCTCGTCAGAGGTCAGTGATGAAGAAATATGTATCTTTTCTCTCTCTCTCTCTCTATATGTATATATATATAAAGGCTCACTCCCCATCCGTTGTCCCCCTTTTCTTCGCAAGACCAAGTTAGCCAGAAAAAAAGATTCCGATCTTGGATCGCTCTCGGATCCTTAAATCCCCCCTAGAAATGCTTCCGCCACACCGGAAGAACATTTCTAGCTCAAGGGATTGGTTTGCTACCATGTTTACACCCCTCCGCCAAATCGAAGGTGTGTAAACCCCCTGGTTGCTTTTAAAACAGTTCGCTCTCTCCGCGAAAAAATTCTCTTTTGTC